CTAAGCTGTAGAAAACATTTTTCCCAAAAATGAATGAGGACCTTCACTACTCTGGGTCTCAGGTTCTCAAACAACTTGGGCAGCTCACTACCCTGGGACCTTAACAAAGGACTCTTTTTTTTTTTTTTTTTGGTCATTTTAGAGATGAGAAATTTGAGGCTGAAAGAAAATTAATGGTGTATTGCTTAGGGAACTCTGTGGCTATGTCTCTGGGACTCCTCTGAATGGACTTCAGGTAAATCGTCCAGCCTGAAAATGGAGCCCTTTTGTGTGACATTCATTACACTCTCCCAGATGAGGTGGGAAACTTGCCCACCTCATCCTGCATTCTGTCCCTAAAAAATAATGTGGCTATAAAGTAGTAGAACAATTCATTTCAGATGGCTTGCTATAAATTCACATAATGGCAAGTTTGTTAGCTGAAGATATAATTCCTTATCTCAAAGTAGTCCCTAAATTAGTTCTTTATTATCATTTTCTTGCGCCTTGGGAACATTTTATTTGAAGTAGTTTCTCATGTGAGAGCCCCAAAGACACTTAAGTTCAAATCATGAGATGTATTTCAAAGAATACTCTGTCTCAGTAGCTATAAACTGTTGTCATGCTTAATTGTATTAGAAAACTCTTTCTTATCATTTACTTCTTGTTATTGCAAAAATACAATCTTATTAAGTCAAAGAAAAAATATCGCATAGTATTATATAATTTATTGTTATAGCTCTAAGAATAAAGGAGGAAATATTTCAGGTTCATTATGTATCTATTTCTGCCAAAAGCTAATTTCTGATAAATAAGCCAGTACAAAAAAGAGAGAATCTACTTTGAAGCAATAACGATGTTCATTTACAGAGGATAAATACCCTCATTTTGGATTAAGCTTTATCCTCTGGAAGCTAAATGTGCCATAGCTGAGCAGCAAATGTAGTTTTCCAATCAAGTAAAGAGTCTTCCAAAGATAGTGTCCCCACCTAAGTCACCAGTCACATCTCCACATCTCAGTTTAATGAGGATAAAAATGTGAAGTTAGGAGGAGTAAGTCTCCTGCCATTTCTGTTATCAAAGGCTGATCGATCTGACTTTTCACTTTGTGATTTCTACTTATTTTTTACCCTGCAGTTGAATCTTACCCAAGAGAAGGTAAAAGGAAAGACAAAAGAACACTATTTAGCCCATTGTCTAGTTACTCATTTTTTGCACTCTCAGAATGGAATATTATAATAGGATGATGGAATGTAATAACCAAGATGATTTTAGATTATCTGAGTGCTTCATTCATATATATCTTTCTTTCTTTAGGGTAAATAAAGGAGTTATTCCATTATTTCTCTATTGCTGATGAAAGATTAGAGATACACTTACACCCTTGTTTACTACATAGAACATCAGATTTGCAAATCTTGGGCAAGTAGCCATGCTATGGTAAATAGGTATCTACAGTGAACTACTAGTTTTCCTTAAATGAGCCTGAAATTCCATAATTAACTATAGAATTATAGCATAATACAACTGCTGAGTCAATAAAAACACAACTCTTTACTTGATATGTGAATTTTTTACTGAATGGACTTTAATAATGGCTAGATTTTCCTTCCAAACTTTTATTCTGCATCCCACTTAGCAGAAAGTGAAATCAGCTCAATAAAAAAGTGTGTAAAAGTGATATATAATCTACAAAACATTGTGCAGATTATTATAATTGTCTCTGAAGGGCTAATTTCCTTCAACCTCTGCAGTTTTAGTTGCGTCCCTGCTGTTTTAGCTGTGTCAACATAGGCAAAACTGAGAGTTGAACTAATTAGGCAAATAATTCAAGCCAAAAATATGACTGAAAAAGGAGCTACTCGGCAATCTCACTCTATACTGTTCAAAGTAAGCTCGTAATAGTCCAATTCTTTGGGTTTTTTTTTTCTCTCAAAAGGCCATAAATAAAACCATGTATAGTCACTGGAATCAAGCAGTTAATGTTCCCTTCTGCATAAGCCACAAATATCCACTCTGGATAACCTTGGTCACGATAGTCAAAATTCTATGGTTGAGACTTAAGTCACATTATAAAATCAACCAAGAGCCAACTCACAAGACATCCACATCTCCACAAGGAGACTGCATGGACAGAAGTCACCCTCCTGCAAGATTTTCTTCATAATTAAACTACCACCTTTTTCTCATCAACTGAAGAGTCAGACAGCCAAGTAAGCGCTTCTAAATTACTGAATTAACATTTCAGGGGAAACTACTGGGATAGGAATAGAAACCTCCTTCACACCCATGGCAGAGATGGTGGCCACTCACCTACTCCCACCCACCCACAGTGCAGTGCTGGGGGCCGCAGGTGTCCAGCCAGAGACTGATTTCCCAGCTTCCTTTCTATATGGGCCAGATGACAGGTGCTTGCTGTCGTGATGCATGGCCCCGTGGTAAGGGTCAGGAAGCCACTTCTCATCTTGTCTGCTGGCTGAATGCCCCTGACTCACACCACCTTGAGAACCTCAGAGTAGAACACAGATATGGAAGCAGCAGGGTCCTTGTATCACCATGGGAATATAGCTGCCTGCTCATTAAGAACATGCAGTTTAGACTTCACCTGAACGAGAAATGATGCTGTTATGTTTGAGCAACTTCATATTGTTGGCTTCTTTTTAAGCAGCTAGAATTACTCCTTGACAAATCCCCCCCAGCATTCTGAGCATGGTGCATGAGTCCTGGAGGCTTCCTTTGCTAAGTGATGGTGATGATAGTGAATGTTTACTTAGTGTGTACTGTGTCACACAGTTCTCATTCCTCTTCAGATAACACCTCAATCTTTACCATAATTCCATGATGTAGGTAGTATTCATTCTTCCCATTTTACAGATGAGAAAATTGAGGCTCAATGAAGTTGAAATAATACAGAACCAGAAATTGAACTGAGACACCAGATGATATTTTTCCAGACCAAATACAAGGTACTTTGCACTTCACATTTTATACAGAAAATATTAATATCCTCTATTCTGGTGCATATTTTAATGTGCAGATAGGTAATAAAAATGGTAGGCTGCTAATCTGGCTTACTAAAAAGACCACTCATTCATAGTGGTCTCTATAGCTGATGTCATGTTATAATAAGTCAAAAGTCATTTCTACCGTGTTCCTTTTTATGAGCAGTAAAGATCCTATGTGTCTTTGAGAATAAGTACTTTATGCCAACAATGGCAGAAAGACATGGTATTACTGACCTATTTATTATGCTTTTATCTGTTCAGTTCTATCAAGGTCAATAAAATAAGAACTTTCCTCCCTGCAGAGGTGCTGATGGGTGAATCCTGCCCTGGCCTCTCCTACTCTTGCCAGGAGAGCAGGCTGGGCTTCATGTGCTGAGGGCTCAGGATCTCCCAGCTGCTTCGCTGCAGCCCGACTCCTGCCTCTCCAGTCCTCTCTCAAACTGCACACAGTGACGTCTCTCTGACCCACGATTAGCACAAATAAAGTAGTGAGTGGACTCAATGATGAGTAAATGGGCTCAGAACGCACGGGGGAAGGGTAAGATTAGTGGGTACCAGGAAATCCCATATATTGCCTACATTATTTATGGCACTCTATCTCCTAAATCGAAAACAATCCACCTGCCGTCACTGACAGGCTACAGTGAGCGAGTGCTCACCATGGAGTGCCGAGCCGTCCCCTCGGGCAGGCAGCATATCAGCACAAGCAAACCTGGCCCTTCGGAGTGCCAGCCAAGGTGAGGGAGTTCTGCCTATGCTGCCACCAAAGAAGCACGCACACTCTGCCTGCCCTGCCCCAACACTGTGTTACTGGAGGACAGCAAACACTGGGCCTCATCCTCACAGGCATGATGCCTTGCCATCCTCTCCTCGCTTAGAGGCATATTCTGAAATCCTCAGGACCTCGTCTGACCTTCTTTTGCCTGTCTCATTGGCCTACATTCTTTCTACTCCTTAGTACCTTCCTGTTCTTCCAGTAATAGTTACCCACCAATGGGAAATAGACCACATTCTACTTGCTACAGCTGCAACAATACCACACACCATTTTAGCAGTATCTTAAGTTTGTGCCAACTCTCCGGCTTTGTTTGCTAAATGTCCTTCTATTCTGACTGGTACCTACAGCTGGCTCTCTCTTCTCTTTGGCCATTAGCTTGGTGGCAGTCCCTCCAAACAGTCACTCTCTGGAATGTAAAAGGAGTCTATGATGGCTTCTTCAGTTTACCTGAAGGAAGTTTCAGTGCTGGTTTACCAGGTTGCTCAGTGATTATGAGAATTTGCTTGATCTCTGTTAGAAAACCTGGTCATCTTTAAATGTAGTCATCTTTAAATTCTCTACATGTTGCTATATTCTTTCATGATGGCTCAGAACTAACCACATTGCTTTCCTTCCTTTCCCTGCCTCCACCCTAAAATCTCAGAGGAAAACATTAAGGCAATGATGGTAAATGATTTAGCAAGGATTACATCAGTAGTCAATAGCAGGACAAGAATCTAAACCCAGAATTATCAGGTTTCCCTTCCTACAACTAAGATCTATCAGGGCTTTAAAGAAAACACTTACAGATAATGCTGCACATTCTGGCCTTTGTCCTCCATGCACCACTCTCTGCCAGACGCTGTGTAAGTGCAGAGGATGAGAGATGGAAGGTGTGGTCCTCGTCTCTGGGGACCTTCTGCATGGTGTGAGCCTGGAGTAGCAGACAGGAGATGCTAGGATTTGTGAAAGCAGTCTGTCCGATGCCAAAGGGTGGAGAGGGGCACTGAATCCTATCCTGAGCTCCACAGAGGGTGCTAGAGAGACTCATGGCTTATACTGAAACCTGCCTTAGAGAGTAAACATAATGATAAAGGCAAAAAACTGTCCAATTAATAAAAGGTATGTGCCCAATATTAGCCAGCACTATCTTGGATTTATATGCAGCTATCATGAAACTGAAAGGAAGCTAGAGGGAAGAAAAAGCATTTAGCAAAAGGAAGCATTACTTCAAGGTGCCAACATCCGGGAGGATATCAAAGCTGGTGGTTATCAAACTTGAAGGAAAATACAGAACACGTCCACTTTAAGTGAATTTTGCAAAACCTAAAGACACCCAGGTCGATGTCTATGGTCAGATCTCACATACTTTGCCAATCTGTCATTTGTTTTATTTTGTTTCTTTTCTTATTTAAAAGCAACTCTACTTCTATTTGTTGCTTCTCACACACAAGAGACCAAGGAGCCTGGACTGCCACAACATAAGCTTGTTTTGGCAGTGGTGAATCTTCATTTTATCATAGAGAGCAAGGTAAGTATAAGAAGGTGCCACAACAGCATTAGCTACACAAGTGTTCATTCGTTACACTGCCACCTTGGAATGGAAACAAGTATGTTAGAGGTGGAAACATTCATTTTGGAAGTAGATCAGATGCCACATTCTGACTTCTCTCTCCTTCCCCTACTGTGCATTACTAGATTTTACTCCAGGGCATGGCACTTATATGAAAGGCATGTTTATCAGCTTATAACGATGCATATTGTTTACACCCTAATAATTAGCAGACTTTTTCCTTCTATCTCACTTAATGTTCTCCTCTGAGGTTTCAGCATAGGAGTCAAGAAAGGAAGGAAATCAATGAGGTTAGTTCTAATCCATCATTAAAGAACCTAGCAACGTATAGACAATTTAAATATGGCTACACAGAGATAGGCCAGGTTCTGGTTATAATTAGATGTCCCGTTAAGGCCCCAGGTATTCATAGGTGGGACCTTTGAACGGTGATTAGACTGTAGGTGTGGTACAGCTGGCTTGCTGTTAGGAGGTGAGGCCTGGCCAGAAGAGGGGAGCCACTGTGGGCATGACCCAGAAAGTTGTATCTCCCTTCCAAGCTCCCCACTTCATTCTCTCTGCTTCCTGTCTGCCAAGCCACAAGCCAGTATTCCTGTGCCATACTCCTGTGCCGTGCCAGGCTGCGTTGGAGCCAGCTGACTGTGCACTGAAACATGAGCCAAAACACAACTCCCTTCCTTTAATTTGTACTGCCAGGCATTGTGTCTCAGTGACAAAGAAAGTAACCAATACTGCGAAACTGGCCTCTTATCCCCATTTTGCATTTAAAGACACAGAAATGTTGCTAGCACGTCACATGGACAATAGCTGGGGCTGGGATCTGAACTCTGTCTCCCTGATGCCAGAGCCCATGCTCGCTGTCTTAAACTACTACAGATGAATCATATAACAGAAAAGATTCATTTCCTACAGTTCTGGAAGCTGGAAGTCCCAGATGCAAGGACTGTATCTGGTGAGGCCTTCTCATGCATCATGGTGTTGAAGGGCACCTCACGGCAACAGGAAGGGTACAGGCTCACATCTGCCTTCCTCGTCTTGTAGAGCCACTAATCTCATCATGGATGCCCCAACCTCATGACCTCCTCTCACTCTACTTCCCTCCCAAGGGCCCCACCTCCAAACACCACAACATAGGAATTTGGGGATTAACTTTCCAATATATGAACTTTAGGGGACATATTTAAACCACAGCAATCTCATCACTCAACTACCTCCTTTCTACTTGTTCACTGAACAAAGACTGCAGCAGGTCTCCTGAACCACTTTCTTTCATTTTCAATAAATTTATTACAGACTTTAATGTCTTTATAGAAATAAAAATTTCTAAGACATCAGTCACCAACCATTTTGTTTTCTGTAACTTCTGTTTCCACTGTTACCACTATTTATGCCACTATTTATGCTGATACTTTACTTAGTTCTAATCAGGGTATAATTTTGAGTTTGCTTTTTTTTATTCAGTATTCTTCAAAATCCACTCTCATGTCCTGACATGGTTCAGTTCATCCATCATTTTAGTGACCATAACATATTCCATTCTGGCCATTATTTGGATTCTTTTTAAGTAACCGTGACTAACTTTATGTGCCCTTCTTCCTATATTCCTATGACTATTATTTGACATGGAGGTGTTTATAAACTATAAATTTCTAAAATAACTTCATTAGCTTTCTTGTTGTTGGACATGACCCCAAAATTGACACCTTAAAGAAAGAGGGGTTTAATTTGGCCCGTTTCAAGGGGGTCCAGTCCATGGTCAGTTGGTTGCAAGACAGAAACATCATGGCAGAAGGACACAGTGGAACAAAGCTGTTCGTGGCAGCCTGGAAACAGAGGATTTGAACAGTGCCAGAGAGGAAGGGGTCAGGGCCCAGATCTAGCACCCAAGGCCATGGCTCCCTGCTCTGCCCAGGCACACCTAGGAGATTGCTCCACCAATCTCTGGGGTGACTCCCAAGCCAATCAAATTGTTGCCACCAAGCTTAACTGTCACAGTAACTAAAATAAAATTTACCTTTTTTAATACATTGAATTTCTTAATTATATGGCTTGATTAAAATTACAAAAATGCTGAAGTTAGTAGGAGAGATAAGCATTACTTTAAAAATAAAACAACAGCTTTTGAAACAACCCTGGAATGAAAGGCAAGCATTTTGTGAAAATAGATGCTATGGTCTGAACATTTTTATAGTCTCAAAACTCTTATGTTGAAATCTGAACCCTCAGGGAGATTGTATGAGGGGGGAGGTATTTGGGGAATTGATTAGATCACGAAGGTGGGGGCTTTAGAATTGGATTAGTGCCCTTATAAAAAGTGGCCTCAGCGGGCCAGCTAGGCCTTTCCACCATGCGAGGACAGCACCATCAGACAGCACCATCAGCGAAATGAGCTCTTGCCAGACACCAGAGCTCCCTTATCTTGGACATCCTCACCTCTGAAAGTAAGAAAAATAAATTGCTGTTGTTTATGAGCTACCTAGGTTATGGCTTTTTGTTAGAGAAGCCAAGACTGAGACATTTGATAAAAGGGTACATAATTTCCTCTGAAGAAAATGGGTCATGAAGGCGCTGTTACCGGACACTAACCACCTAACAACACTCTCCAGCGAGATCCGGGATGGAGAAAACAGATTTGCATTTTAATGCTCTAGTGTTGGACTTCTCTTTTATAATAAAAAGTAGCTGGCAGCAAGAATGAGAAGTTGCAAAGATTAAATAACTTCCTATCGATCTAGTCTGCATTTCTCCCCTGGGTGACAAAGCTAGAAACCTTTCAAAGCCCCAATAAAACTCCACTGCACGCAGGACTAGAAAGAAGTTCAGTCAGCTTTTTATCCGGAGCCTCTTACCTAAATTAATTATTAAGAGCCTATAAAGAACCAAAATCTAACCAAATGGACAATATGCAATACTTGATAATGATTTGCTAAGAGGCTCTAATGGTTTGCTTTTCTGGCCTAGGTCTTAATTTATAGCTGCTCTCTTACTTTAAGGAAAGGAAGGGCCTTCAGCAACACCTTTTTAGGTCACTGCTATATAAAGTTACCGAGCAGCAGCAGTTCTATGTCGGTAGAGTTTTTCCATTTCCGGTCTCAGGGTGAGTTTTCCTTTTGAAGAGAGTAACTGTTACAGGGGTGCATCACAGGGAGAGCGGGGCCGGTGAGAGTGCAGGTGCCATTCGGCCTGCGTGCTTCAATCCTCCTGTGCAGGCCCAGACTGCCGGGATCTCTACCCTGTGCCTGGTACTTGTCATACTCTTCAGAGAGATCGACCCGCTGACTCCTCACAGCAGCCTCTGTCTGGATGAAAGCTCCTTTGATCAGATTTTCCAGATAAAGCAAGACCGAAAGAAGTGAAAGCAGGTGTCCAAGGACACATAGTGGCCACACTATCTGTCACCCAGACTTCCCTCTGTCCCCAAGGGTGCGTTATTGTCCTCCATGCCTAGATGTATGGGTTCTGTTCAATCACACATCTCTCCAAGTTTCCACTGTATGTATGACGAAATGGACAAAATACACACAAAATTTGGGGTAAGGAATAGAGAGGGAACTAGGAAAGAGAAAGCTGCTCTGATAGGGCCACTTCCCACAGGGGTCTGGATGACATTCCTAAGAGGCCAGGCACCCTGTGGCATATCATCATTTAGACTTTGGAAAAGGTGGAGGAGGAAATGGCTGTAGATGTGGAAGTGGAGGGGAGAAGATTGGTGAGGTGCCAAAGCTGTGTGATATAGCATCTGATTTGTCCCTTACAGGGACAGTGGCACTAAACTCACAAAAATGCTCCTGGGTAGAAGGAGTTCTTGCTGAGAACAGCAAAGGAGCCACCTCTAGATTCAGAGATCAGATCTTTACATTTTTCCCTGTAAAAAGGGGCAAAGGAGTAGGGCCAAGGGCCTCTGAATGGCACAAGGGCATCAGACTCTGAGCGTCACCCCAAAGGACCCCATTGCTCTTTCCTTTGAAGGTTACCTAGAAATAAGAACCATGAGGGAATTTCCTCACCTGTTAGTAAATGCAGTGCAGACTGTAGGAATTAAAAGTGTGGTACAGACAAATGCAAAAGAGATAGGTAATAGAACCTTATCAGTGTATATTTTTTTCTAATCTATGGGCAAAAAATGGTATCTTGTGATTTGAATGCACATTTTCCAGATTTTTAGGCAGGGGTGTGGATCCTAACAAAGGCTCACCTGCTGCTCATCATTTCTTGCTCTGTGCAGTGACTCTGTATTCTTTGCATATTTCTATTAGATCATTTGT